CATTAATTAGCTTGGCGGGCACCAAAAAGCTTGGCGGGCACCAAAAAGCTTGGCGGGCCGGATCCGGCCGGCGCGCCGTAGGTTGGAGACCCCTGGTCTATAGTGTGTTTATGTTGGAAATGAAATTATACAAAGAAAAAACTTCCGATACTGAACCTCTATATTTTTCCCCTTCTGTATATCAAAACAAAAAAACATAGTTTTTACTTATACCTAACATTATCTTATTTACAAAATGTCAAAAACTACTTCTGTATCCCTAACTTTAGACGATTATTGTCAGGAAAACTTAATAAACAAAAAAAAATTTCCCGTTTATGTAGCCCATGGTCAGTTATAATTTAACAGTTTTTACATTAGGCACTTAACTATATGACGAACAACTTTGCCTCTCTCCAACGTTCCCCACCACCACAAACCATGTACACGTGTTTACTCGCATCTAAGAATCCCAACTGTTGAACAATTTTAGTAAATTTTTTAATMACTGATAAAACCTAAGTAAGTATATACTTTTAACATATTTACGTAAGATACAGGACTAAAAAATTYAGTCTAGTTTCTTTAAAGTAACACACGTAAACAAACATTTCAATATTTTTGTTTTGAGTGTGGGAGCATGCTCGAAGTGGATGTGATGCTGGGATGCTACAGCATCCCTTTTGGCCTAAAATTTATTTATATATTTGATCTGATTTGATTTTAATCTGCTGATATAGTACAATTTTGTTTGAATGTTTTTTGTAACTTGGTACCTGTTTATGTTTTTGTACGTATTTTAAATATTTAAATATTTAATAAATACCTAATCTACATATTTTAAATTTGCCTCAAACATTTTTGTTATTTGCCCTTTAAATTATGCAGCATCCCGTACCCTTTTTACTAGTTCACGCCTGTGTGGATGTACAGAAAAACGGTATTTAAATCAAAATTATCGTGACTCTACAGGTGTCCGTTATTTTCCCTCCCCACGCCCACCTTGACCTATCTTTATGAATAATGTGCTATAATATTTAACGAGACATGTTCGCAAATTCCAAAATGTGTTCTGCAAATCATTGACACATTTATTTACTAGATCGAAAATTATGGGGGGGGGGCACTTCACGGGCATATTCTACAGTAGGTATACCTATTCGTTTTCAAAAATATTAATTTTTAAATTACAGTTATCGACTATGATTTAGACTAGTACTTACTCTGAATACCTGCAGCTACAACACTGTGATACCATCAGACATTATAAAGAAATGTATATATTATTTTATATTCGGTTAGGTGCGGGCCGATATGTTATTCGTGTCGCGCTTGGATTTCAAGTCATTGTAAAGCGATACTTGGGCTTTAGCCTTTAGATGCATATAATGTGATGAGTGCGATGCTACACACCGGTCGGTCGTTTTTATGGATAATAAATTATTATTATCGCGATTTGCCGATGTCTGGACAGAGTTATCGTTATACGTAGGTTAGGTTAGGTACCTTTAGTTATAATACATAATATATTATATTGATATAGGTACACTGGTTGAAATTTCTGCGGTTCAATCATGTGACAGTCGATGTACTATATCGCAACTAGGCGACGAGTACCTAAAGGTACTGTGTATAGTATATATATATTTTTTTTCAGACATGATGTTTAAACTTGCAATGTAGATGAAGAAGCATTGGTTTTATAACGTAATATGGAATAAATGGCAACATGGCTAATGCGGTACGTATAGGTTACATGCATAGGACTATAATAAATATTCTATTGTTTTGTTTACGTCGAAATTCGATTTGTATAATTTTATATTCCCAAAAATACTATGCATGTTTACAATAATATATAAATAAATAATATGATAATATGGTATTCCGTATACATATGGCCAATGTGGAGTTAAAATGTCACTATATATCAGGTGAATAACATACGTGTTTTTGGCCTTTGAGTGATTTTGGGATCCTTTATCCAACATAAACAATTGATTTCTTTCCATTTTTTTTTGTGTTATGATATTTATTGACCTACGCATTTTCAATCCGTCATTGACCTTTAAATTAGGATTTTTAATTTTTCAAAATGATTCTTCGCCTGCGATGTTCACAAACTTTGTTTCTTAATTGTATTTTCAGTGCTTATTATAGTATATGTACCTACCTATATCAACAATGTATTTAACATTGTGAATGGATGTTATTCGTTTATTAATAAATTATCATTATTGATGATTTGTTTTTACAATTTATAATTATTTTCCATTTTACCATATTTATTGATGGTTAACTATCGTAATTAACATATACCTAATTAATAAAATTACATTATTATTAAAAATTAAATAAAAATGTATGGGCAAGAATATATAAGGATAAGAAGGAATAAAATATACCTATTGTATTGACATTAATTTAAATCATAATAAATGTATTTTCAAATATATAAAATATAAATAAACATACTATTGCCCCTACCTAAACATTTTACGGTTAAATAAATATAGTAACATTATACTGTTCTGTTAGAACTAAGAACTATTCTATTATGTACCAACAATCGCCGAGGCTTCAATGCATAAAAACGTGTACGCATTGCTTTACTTAAGTTTTTATAATTTGTTGAAAAGTTAATCAGCACGATCGTTTTTTTGTTTTGAATWATTTGCTTTGTGGCAAGTACCTACATATGTTTGGCCAGCTGGCCTTTTAAGCATATTATGCATTCTATGGTAAATAAAWAAAAAAAACTGAAACGGTGTCAATATTTAACCGTACGATTTATATATTGTCCGAGTTCCGCGAATATAACAGCTATATATTTATTTGATTTGCAATGCTCACGGAACAGCGGAAGAACAAACAATCGTTCATCGGTGCTGTGTAATATTTTATTTCACGTGAATTTGATTAACCCTTCAACACTAATGAAATCTACCGTTTGATCTGCAGCCCCATTTCGACCGTGACATGCGGTGTACTGCATGGTGCAATAAAAACAATATTGTTWGATGCAATTAACTAACAAAGCAATACCGTAGTAGAAAACTAATACATAATATTTTGTTTTAAATTTTTTATTTCCTATTATGATTGAATACTGTATTTTTTATATTTTTCATTTAAGAACAAAACGTTATTACAAACATAGTCAAATATACTGTATACATCTATAATACTGTTCRCTGTTTTTGTTGCATCCTGTGTAAGGTATTCCACGCGAGTTCGTAATATTTATTTTAATCACTAACCCGTAAAACGTTGTGGTCAAATCATTGCTCTCGTAAATCTCCAACGAGTAAGTCACCGGTCTAACTCCGCCGTCGTTGTCCAATGTACAACTTATCGTTGCAAAGTCTTTGTCTTCCACGCCATCGTGAACGACCGAAGTGCGTCGTTGATGATGATGCTGCTGATGGTGATGCCTACTTCCGGTTTCCGAGTGGCGTTCTTGATCTTTGGGCAATCGAATCGCGCAGCCAGTCAACGGACCGGGGGGAGCTGTGCACACAAAAACAGACGAATAATGAGAATGTTAATTACTTTTTTTTTTTTAACGGGGGCTCGTTTAAAATATTTATTCGCTTCACGCTCGGAAGTGCAGTGTGCACACTAAACACGACATGTGAACCAACTGTCAAGATTAAAGAATGTGCGCAATAGGCGTTTAAAAACAACTATATCCGTTGACGATATATGTTATTATTAGGRAACGGATTTAAATGCTCTAAAAAACAAGAAAAATGCCTTAAAAAATACAATTTAATGCCTTAAAAAACGCACTAAAAAAATGCCATAAAATGGGTTTATATTCAATAAAAACAAAATTTTGTAYTTAAAACTTATAAAAAAACACACTATCATTAAAAATCTAATAAAAAATATTTAAATGCAATACAACCTTCATTAATTAACTTTAGATAAATAGTTTATCGTATCTTATCTCTTATCTTTACCTTAATGTGGGTAATAATCCGTTGTAACTTGTTTGTATATATTTTGTGTCTACACGTGTCAACAATAATTTCGTAATTTCGTAACATAATACACGTGTCAACAATAATTTCGTAATTTCGTAACATACCTAATACATATTTAGGTATTTTAATTTTTTTTTTAGAATGAATGTGGAAAAAATGTTGAAAAAATGACTTAAAAACCACAAAATGCACAAACATTTTCAAAAATGCATTAAAGTCTTAAAAATGCAAAATAAAAGTTACATTTTTTAATTCTTTGATGTATGAAATGAACTTTTTGCTTGGAAACCAATTTTTTCGGACATTCAGAAAAAAATKCAATTTGCATTCAAATCCGTTCCCTAGTTATTATATTATACCATAATTTCTAATGTGGCAGTGAAAATTGTTTTAGCGAAACGTATCTTATAGTCGAAAGCAATAATAAAAACAACGAGACGTTGGTTGAATAACGTATAGGTACGTTTTCTGTCAGTGCATTTCAAAAGTTTCAATTCGTTATGGGTTTTTTGTAACATCCAAACTGCGTTATTATTATTACTGTTTAACATTAGCCGGAATAATATATCATAACAGCGTAGTTTCTATAACTTTATGTTGATTAAATAACAATGTAATAATAATATTGTACGTATTCAAACAAAAAAATATACTAAGTTGAGTAAGTACTAAGTTCACATATAAGAAAGTGCACGGAAAATTAAATGTTACAGCTACAGTGATTATTAAATATATTATAGCTAAAGTAGTTGTAGCTATCTTGTAACTATTGAACTTTTGTTTTTTTGACTCTCCGTTGAGAAATAAAAATTCAAAAAGCAATTATGATGGGTATATGGCGTATATGCAATTGTATACATTTATTAATAATAATCAACTATTGAGCTCCATAAGTACAAATTACAACGTGCCTCATATTTAACTAAATAATATCATATTATTTTATTATATTTTTAAAAATTTACTGTTGATTCACTGAGCTATTTGTAGAACAGTTATAAATAAAAATTATTATCTAGTTAACCTAACATTGAAAATCGTCACTGCATTGACATTTTAGGTAGCTAATTTATATTTAATAGTGAGTAATCGTTGATTTATTTATAAAATAT